AAAGGTGACAGCACCCACGCAGATAAGCTGGTCCGTGATATATATGGAGGAGATTATGAAAGATTTGGTCTGCCAGGTTGGGCTGTAGCATCTAGGTAAGTAGCATTTATGTTGTCAGTCAAATTGCTTCTTTAGTTCTTGGAGAGCAATATATCTTGGCAATTGTAAAAGGACTTTTTGGGTTACAGGTAGTTTTTAATATTCATGAAGCTTAAAAATCAACTATACATTGAGCGGTCCACCCTGATTATACCTTATAGGGAACTACTTTTATTCATTCTTGGATATCTTCTCATTGTTTTCTCTTTGCAATTACAAATCCATATCCTTATTGTTCCTATTTAAAGTCAGCATATGTTATATACCATTATCTAGCATACTACATGTACTTTACAACCAGTGTATCTTAGAAATCATTCCATATTTATAAATAGATTTTTAAAAAATAACAAACAGCTTCATGATACTCCTTTGTGTGGATGTGTCATAGTTGGATGAGCATTTGGGTTGTATACTGTATTTTGCCATATACAATTCCATGATCAGTGAATAACCTTGTACATTACCTTACTTTGGACACATGGATGTTTATCTGTAGGATTGTAAATATATTTGCTGTTTTGATAGCCATTATGAAAATATGCCCTCTAGCAATTTTTGTTTTTTTATATGCTCACCAGCAGTAGATGAGAATGCCTGTTTCACCATGCTCTCAAACTTTGGGATGTTTGCTTATCTAATACCTGAGATAGAGTATTTTAGTGTAATTTTCATTCGTGTTTGTCTTGTCTACAGTGAGGTTAAGAACCTTTTGTGCTTTATTTTTCCTCCTTTGTTGTTCTTAAAAAAAAAAAAAACTTTTACTGCGGTGAAAACATACACAAGACATTCACCAGCATAACAGCCTCCACACATACAGCTCAGGGACATTGATGACGTTTTTCATGTTGTGGCACCATTATCGCTATCCTTTTCCAAAATATTTCACCATCATAAGCATAAACTCAGTGCCTCCCAGACTGTAGCTTCCCCTTTCCCCCTCCCTCCTACCCCTGGTAACCACTAATAATCTTTGGTGTGTGTGTATGTGTGCATGTGTCCTTTTTTTTTCAACCTATCTAGAAATTCTCCCTACCCTCCTAATCCTAATAACCAAAGAGGAAAGTTTCCTTCTATATATAAATCTTTGAGTTTTTACAGTAGTGGACTAACACAATATTTGTCCTGTAATTGACTGACTTCACTCAGCATAATGTCTTCCAAGTTTATCTACATTATGTGGTGGTTTGTAGATTCTACATTACATTTTGGGATTGCATAGTATTCCATTGTGTGTATGTACCACAGTTTGTTTATCCATTCCCTGATTGATGGCACTTAGGTTGTTTCCATCTCTTTGCTATTGTGAATAGTGCTGCAGTGAACATGAGTGTGCATATCTATCTATCTGTGTCCTGCCTTTTTCTTCTTGTAAGATATATACCTAGTAATAGGGTTATTGAGTCAAATGGTATTTGTTTCCAACTTTTTAAGGAATCTCCATACCAATTTACACTGTGATTGTATCATTTTAAAGTCCCATCAACAGTGTATGAGAGAGTTCCAGTCTCTCACATCCTCACCAGCATTTGTTATTTTCTGTCTTGAACTTTGCTATTAGTGCTAGGGTGATATGGTATCTCAGGGTTGTTTTGATTTGCAGCACTCCAATGGCTAATGATAATGAACATTTCTTCATGTGTTGTTGGCTGTCTGAATATCTTTGGTGAAGTCTATTCATGTCTTCTGCCCATTTTTTTAATTGGATTGTTTATGTCTTTGTGATGTTGAGGTATTGGAGTTTTCTATGACTTTTAGAGATAAGTCCTTTGTCTGATATGTCATTGCTGAATATTTTTTCCCATTCAGTAGGTTCTCTTTTTACTCTTTTGGAGAAATCATTTGATGCACATAAGAATTTAGTTTTTAAAAGGTCACACTCATCTAGTTTATCTTCTGTTTGTGCATCTTGGGTTATGCTTGATAGTCTGTTTATGCCATAAATAGTGCCTAAGGCACTTGACTGCTAACCAGAAGACTGGTGGTTCAAGCCCACCAGCCACTCCTTGGAAGGAAGATGGAGCAATCTACTTCTGTAGTGATACTGCCTCAGAAACCCAAGGAGGGGTCGCTATGAGTCGGGTCCAACTCGTTGGCACATAACAATAACAAAGGTTACCCCTATTTTTTCTTTGATGAACTTCATAGCTTTAGATTTCACATAAAAGTCTTTGATCCATCTGGAATTAGTTTTTATTATGGTGTGAGATACAGATCTTATTTCATTTTTCTACAAATGGATATCCAGTTTTGCTAGCACCATTTGTAAAAGAGACTGTCTCTTCCCCTATTGAACAGATTTTGGCCCTTTGTCAAAGATCAGCTGACAATAGGTCGATGGATCTATTTCTGAGTTCTCAGTTATGTTCCACTGGTCTGTGTCTGTTGTTGTACCAGTACCATGCTGTTTTGGTAAATGTGGCTGTGTAGTAGGTTTTGAGATCTGGCAGTGTGAGACCTCCTACTTTGTTGTTCTTCAGTAGTGCTTTGCATGTCGGAGGTTCTTTTCCTTTCCATATGAAATTAGTAATTGGTTTTTCCATGTCTTTAAAGAATGTTGATGGAATCTGGATTGGGATTGCACTGAATGTATAGATTGCTTTGGGTAGTATTGACATTTTCACAATGTTCAAACTTCATATCCATGAGCATGGTATGTTCTTCCATTTATGTAGGTCTCTTACGGTTTCTTGAAGTGGTGTTTTATAGTTTTCTTTGTATAGGTGTTTTTGTGTTCCTGGTAAGATTTATTCCTAAGTATTTTATGTGTTTGGTGGCTACTGTAAATGATACTGATTTCCTTTTTAGAGACTTCTTTGCTGGAGTAGAGGAATCTAACTGATTTTTGTATGTTGATCTTGTATCCTGCTACTATGCCGAATCTTTCAGTAAGTTCCAGTAGTTTTCTTGCTGAGTCTCTTGAGTTTTCTATGTATAGGATCATATCATCTGCAAATAGGGCTAGTTTTACTTCTTTCTTACTAGTTTAGATGCCTTTGATTTCCCTTTCTTGCCTTATTGCCCTGGCTAGGACTTCCAATACAGTGTTGACCAGAAGTAGGGATAGAGGGCATCCTTGCCTGGTTCCTGTTCACAAGGGAAATGGTTTCCGTCTCTCTCCATTGAGAATAATGTTGGCTGTTTGTTTGCACAGATGCCCTTTATTATGTTGAGGAATGTCCCTTCTGTTCCTATTTTGCTGAGAATTTTGATCAGAAATGGGTGTTGAATTTTATCAAATACCTTTTCTTCATCTTTTGAATAATCATGTAATTCTTTTCCATCATTTTTACTTATGTGACAGATTACATTGTTTTTCTAATGTGGAACCATCCTTGGTATGAATCCCTCTTGGTCGTGATGTGGTATTTTTTTGATATGTTGTTGATGTCTGTTGGTTAAGATTTTGTTTAAGACTTTTGCATTAATGAGGGATATTCGTCTGTAGTTTTCCTTCCTAGTGGTGTCTTTTTTCTGGTTTTGGTATCAGGGTTATGCTTGCTTCATAAAATGAATTAGGGAGGATTCCATCATTTTCCATGTTGTAGAATAGATTGAGTAGGATTGGTGTCAGCTCTTCTCTGAATGATGAGTAGAATTTTCCAGTGAAATCATCTGGGCCAAGACATATTTTTTAATGGTAATTTTTAATGACCTGTTCGATTGCTGCTTTTGTTACGGGTCTGTTCAAATTTTCTTCCTCAGTCTGTTATTTTAGGTAAGTTCTATGTTTCTAGAAATTTTTCCATTTCTTCTAGATTTTCCAATTTGTTGGAGTACATACAGCTCTTCATAGTATCCTACTATTATTATTTTTATTTCTGTTGGTTCTGTTATGACGTCACCCATTTCATTATTAATTCATGTTATTTGCATCTTCTCCTTCAATTACTTTGTAAAGTTTGCCAGTTGTTTGTCAATTTTATTAAATCTTTTCAAAAGACCAACTTCAAATCTTGTTAATTTTTTCCTATTGTCTTTCTGTTTTCTGTTTCACTTATTTCTGCTCGAATCTTTATTATTTCCTTTCTTCTGGTGACTGTAGGCTTTTCTTGCTGTTCTTTTTCTAATTGTTGGAGATGTTAGATTACTTAAGGTGTTAATTTTGGCTCTTCTTTTCAGTGTGTGTGTCTATTGCAATAAATTGGCCTCTGATCACTGCTTGTGCTGTGTCCCGAAGATTTTGATATGTTGTGTATTCATTCTCATTTGAGTCAAGGAATTTTTTTTTTTAATTTCATTTTTTACTTCTTCAATAGAAGTCATTTTTTAAGTATGGTATTATTCTTTTTCCATGCATTTGTTCTTTTTCCATTGGTCTGCCTAGTGTTGATTTTGAATTTTATAAAATTGTGATCTGAGAAGATGCTTTGCAGTATTGCAGTGTTTTAAAATTTATTGAGGCTTCCTTTATGGCCTGAAGTATAAGGACTGTCCTGCAGAGTATTCTGGAAAGGAATATATATTTTGCTTTTGTTGGGTGAAGTTCTCTGTAGATGTCTATAAGGTCAAGTTGGTTGATCATGTTGTTCTTCTGCATCTTTGTTGAGTTTCTTTCCAGTTGTTCTATCTCTTATTGAAAGTGGCATATTAAAGTCTCTTACTATTACTGTGGAGTCATCTTTTCAATTCTGTTAAAGTCTAATTTATGCATTTTGGGGCTCTTTCATTGGGTGTGTAGGTATTTATTATGGTTATGTCCTCTTGTTCATTTGATCCTTTAATTATTATATAATGTTCTTCCTTGTCAATGATGATTGTTTTTGTCTTAAAGTATTTTATCAGAAATTAATATTGCCACTCCTGCCTTTTTTGGTTGCCATTTGTTTGATACATGTTTTTCTAACCTTTGATTTTTAGTCTATTTTTGCCTTTGTGTTTAAGATGAGTCTTGTATACAGTACATTGATGGCTTATGTTTTCTTATCCATCCTGCAACTCTCCATCTCTTGAGTGGTGGTGCATTTAATCCGTTGACATTCTTTGTAATTATTGACAAGTATGAAAGTATTGATGTCAATTTGTTACTTTTTTTTCATGGTGTTGCTGATTTCTTTGTTCTATATAATTTTCTGTGCTGAGTTCATTTTGTTTATAAGTCATGTTAACATCTCCTTCATCGCTATTGTTTTACTGAATGCTAAATATTTGTGCTTGTCCTCTTTTTGAATTTGATGCACAGGTTTATTTTTCTTTGAGGTTACCCTGTGATTTACTATTTCCTTCCCAAGTTTAAAAGTCTTGACTTCCTCACCATTCAGAAGTTCTGTAACTACACTAATTATTCCCTCTGTTTGGTTTGTAGTTAGTTTACCAATTAATGTCTCTGGTTCTGTCTTCACTGTCTTGTAAGCTGACTTTGCTTTGGATACTTCTATAACTGGGTTGGTATCTGGGTATATCACCATGTGTGTTAATCATCAGTTGTCTACTGTTGTTAGTTCTCTATCCAAAGGACTTCCTTTAGCTTCTCTTGTAAGGTTGGTCTGATTTTAACAAATTCTCTTAATTTCTGCTTCTCTAGAAATCTCCTAATTTCACCCTCATATTTGAGAGACAATTTTGGTGGGTCTGTAATTCTGGTTTGGAAATTTTTTTTCTTTCAGGGTTTTATATATATCATTCCATTGCCTTCTCACCTGCGTGGTTTCTGCTGAGAAATCTGAACTTAGTCTTACTGGTTGCCCTTTGTAGGTAACTTTTCATTTTTCCTGTGCTGTTTTCAAGATTCTTCTTTGACTTTGGTTTTGGTGAGTTTGATTATGATATGCCTTGGTGATTTTCTGTTGGGGTCTATCCTGTTTCAGGTTTATTGAACTTCTTGGATAACTGTCTTCTCATCTTTCATCATATTAGGGAAATTCCCTCCCAACAAATCTTCAATTTTCTCTGTGATTTTATTTATCTCTTCCTTTTCTAGATTTCTGATTACATGTAGGTTATCCCTTTTGATGGTATCCCACATGAATCTTATGCTTTCTTCATTTTGTTTTGATCTTCTTTTTGATTGATCACTTAACAAAGTAGTATTGAGGTATTTGTCTTCAGTCTCTTTAATTTTGTCTTCTGTTGATTCAGTTCTACTCCTTTTCTTGTTCAGTGTGTTACCTATTTCTGAAATGTCAGTGTCAATCATCTGGATTTCTATTTGTTGTTTTTTAATCATTTCTAATTTTTGGTTATTTTGTCAATTTGTTCTTGTTTTGTTTTCCTAAATTGTTCTAGAGTTTTTTCTGTGTTTTCCTTAATTTTGTCAGTATTTTCCTTGATCTGTCTCTCAGTCTGTTGAAGGTTTGTTGTTCTGTTTTGTTGATAGTTTGTTTTTCTTTTGTTCTCTCTCTTCCTCTAGGCCCATGCTGTCCAGTGCAGTAGCCTCTAGCTACATGTGGCTGTTGAGCACTTAGAATTTGGTTAGTGCCACATGTTGAAATGATGCTCTTTGATTAATATATTGGCTTAAATAAAATATATTATTAATTTTAATGGGTTTTTCTTTTGTATTTTTTTTTTTTTAGCATGGCAAATGGAAAATTTGGAGTTACACTTGGCTTATACTTTATTTCTACCGTACAGTGTTTTGGTAGACTAATTCATTGCTTGAGGGACTTTCTTGGTGTCCCCAGCACATTGTTTGGTATGTCATAAATGTTGTGACTGAGTAAAAATGAACTTCATGTTAAAGCTTTTCCAACAAGCCAAGATGTATATTTTGCTTGGCTTCCTGAGAAAATAGACTTTTCATTTAATTGCTTTGTATCAAGTTCAGAAATGAAGATATTTCAGTAATATTTGATTCTTTATAAGATTCTTTATGTTCCATTTTTGAGAGTTAATTTTCATCTTAATTCTTTAAAGGGAAATACTTGTTCCTGTGTAGATTTTTGTTTCTTTTCATTTCACTTTTCTTTGTTTCTACTCTTTTGGTCCTAATTTTAGAAAAATATCCTGCATTATAAACACATTTGCAAATGTATAGAAGTATTGCTTGATAACAGTAGTTTTGACTTTTGTTTTTCTGTTTCTCATTTCTCTGCAGTTTTGGGAATATGATTTATAAAGACAAGCGAGAATCTGTTAGTAAAGAAGATCTGGCAAGAGCTACTTTAGTTACTATCACCAACAACATTGGTTCTGTGGCACGGATGTGTGCTGTTAATGAGGTAAAAAAAAAAAAGTTAATTATGACAAAAGTGAATTGGAGTTTTATGTACATCCCATCAGACTTCATGTTCCTTAAGGAGGTCTGTAAGAGTAAGCTCTACCACTTCATTAAATCCCATGACTAGCAAATATATATATTTCCAATTATTGTGTTACCTTTAAAGAAAATGCAACAACTTACTTTAGATTGGAAATAGAACAGTTAGATATTTATGTTTTATATTCATCCAGAAACTTTTTCAGAAATAGCCTTAACTCTTGAGGAGATGAAAGAGAATTCTTTCTTTTTAGGCACATGACATTTTGAGGTGACTAATCATTTATTTAGGAGCTCTGGTAGCATAGTGCCTAAGGTACTTGACTGCTAACCAGAAGGCTGGCAGTTCAAACCCACCAGCTGCTCCTCGGAAGGAAGATGGGCAATCTACTTCCATAATGATACTGCCTCGGAAACCCAAGGAGGGGTTGCTATGAGTCAGTCCGACTCGATGGCATATAACAACAACAAATCATTTATTTATCTATTTTTATTTTGACATTAATCTTGCATTTGATAAGTGAAATACTTGGAGTTTTTCTTACTGCCCTCGGCTTCTTTACAGTGCTGCCTTGTTGCATATGGATCAAGCAGCATTGTACAGGGCTATGAAGGCATTGAGACTTGTTCTTCACAAGAAATTTGAATGATGTTTTCTTTAAAAAAAAAAAAAAAACTAAACCGCTCATATTGTAATATGTACCACATTGGGTTATTTTTTATTTGGAAGAAAATATATAGTTCTACCTTCATATAGGGAGCTCTGGTAGCATAGTGCCTAAGGCACTTGACTGCTAACCAAAAGGCTGGAAGTTCAAACCCACCAGCCACTCCTCGGAAGTAAGATGGGGCAATCTACTTCCGTAGTGATACTGCCTCGGAAACCCAAGGAGGGGTCGCTGTGAGTCAGGTCTGACTCGATGGCACATAACAACAACAACAACACCTTCATATAAACATACTGGCTCTTTATAAAAATTTTTGTGATTATCACATACTTAAAATGAATTGAGAAGTTTGCTTTTTGAAGGAAACCATTAATTCATTGAATGAGTATAGAGTACTAGGAGCCCAGGTGACAAAGTGATTAAGCACTTGAGTGGTAGCTGAACAGTCAGCAGTTTGAAGTCAACCACTTCACTGGATAAAGAGGTGGTATTCTGCTTCTGTAAAGATCACTGCATTGGAAGCCCTGTAGAGCAGTTCTACTCTGACCTATATGGTCACTATGAGTCAGAATCAGCTTACGGGTTTGGTTTTTTGTTTGGATACTCCAGAAATTGTTCATGCACTTGGGATTTACAAGTGGAGAAAACAAAGATCCCTGACTTTGTTGCACTTATCATTCTTTTATTAGTGATATAATGAGTAAATTGTGTGGTGTGTCATTAGATGATAAATGCTGTCTTTAAAAAACAAGGTAGGATAAAAAGAATTGAGAGGAGGACAGGGAATGGCAGAGTAAATGGAGTGGTTACGGAAGGCTTCGTTGAGAATATGACTTTTGGGTAAAGATTTGAACCAGGTGAAGGAATCAGCACATACACAGATATTTGGGGAAAGACAAACTGTACAGAGGCCCTAATGAATCCTCTGAATTATTTTATGTTTTACTTCAGAATTTTATCTCTTAAGTTTCTTTTTTGCTTTATTTATTTATTTATTTATTTATTTTGGTCATTTGGGTGAAAGTTTATGGAGCAAATTGGTTTTCCATTCAACAGTTCATAGACATTTTGTTTGGGGACATTGATTGTGATCCCCACAAAATAACAATACTCTTTCCACTTCTTCTCTGTATTTACCATTTCCATTCTTCCTTTCCTTTCCCTTCCTATCTTCTGAGATTTATCCCTGGGCAAATGCTCCCTTTTTGATTTGTCATGGTTGATTGTTATAGAGAGTGTGTACCTCCCTGGTCTGTTACCTTTGTTAATAGTGTAGTAAATTGGTTGTTGGAACCACACAGCAGGCCTTTTGACTTAGGTTTGGGAATACTTTACTTCTGACTTGGCAATAATCTAGTACCTTTTTTTAAGTTCTGTAGGTCTAGATTTTCACTGGCAAATTGTAATTAGGTCCTTACTTTACCCAGACTAATAAACGTAAAAGTCATATTATTGTTACAGTAGGAATAGGTATTCTAGAGATTGATATACTTGTTCCCTTCTCTAAGGATTTCCTAATAGAGGCAGCTAGGAAATGAAATTAGTGAGTGTGGAATCTTTTGAGAGAGTGCCCTGGTGGGTCATGCTAGGCACAAGAGAATGCCTGTAAGCCTGAGGTTGGATGCACATGCAGCCTGTGAGTCATTGTTCTCCAGTTCTCTATTATAGAGTCCACAGTTGTGTGTCATTGCTGAATGTGCCATTGCATTATACTGGTCAAGTTTATAGTCTTTCATCATAAATGCATTTTACTTTTCCTCGGATTGACTCTTTGGATCTTATCAATAATGTATCTTCCAGTTGCTTTGCTAAATGGATTATTTATTGGCTGTTTTAAAGAACAAGTCTCAACCTGTAATCAGTTGCCTAAGGTCTTTTTAGAACTGATTTTTAAATATTCAGTATTATTGAGCTACGTACCAGAAATAATGGTAGACATATTAGGAATATAGTAGTTAACATTTTTAAATAAAAACTTTTACAAACCTCATTATTACATTGTGAAATCTTATTTAATTCTTTTTATATGTCACTTTATTTCTTTTCTTTTAGAAAATAAATCGAGTTGTCTTTGTTGGAAACTTTTTACGTGTAAATACACTCTCCATGAAACTTTTGGCATATGCACTGGATTATTGGTCAAAAGGTCAACTGAAAGCATTGTTCCTAGAACATGAGGTATGATAGGAAAATATTTGTGAATTTTATATGAAAATTTGCTGTATTGCTTCTTACCCCATATTGATAAGTAAAATATAAAACAATAGGTTGTTTACTTAAATACCATATTGACTCTGTCACTTTGATTGGAGTTGTGATAAGGGATATGATATTACTATAACATGGTAGGCAGGTACCCCATGGCAATGAGAATTTCATAATAATTCTAACATAGGAAACAGTATCATATCTGTGAGCTCCTCTCATACTGAGGCTATTTGTGCACTTAGTTAGATACATATCAGTTTTGCTTTGTTGAATTGTTGTTCTTTTGTTTCTCTAGTTTTTTATTATTTGAGCTCAGAAAAGTATAAAAATACATTAATTTAGCAAGGAAAATACTTATTCCTTCCATACAATCCTACCTCCACCTACAAAATAACAAATGTTAACATTTTAGAATTTCTTCCAGATTTTTTTTTCTTTTCCTATTCATATGCTAAGGAGCCACCAGCCACTCCTCGGAAGTAAGGTTGGGCAATCCTACTTCCGTAGTGATACTGCCTCGGAAACCCAAGGAGGGGTCGCTATGAGTCGGGGCCGACTCGACGGCACATAACAACAACAACAACAACATGCTAAGGAGCTATGGTAGTGCAGTACCTAAGACATTTGATGCTAACCAGAAGGTTGGCAGTTCAAACCAACTAGCCACTTTATGGAAGGAAGATAAGGCAATCTACTTCCAGAAAGACTTACCTCCTCAAAAACCTAATGGGGGTCGCTATGAGTCGAAATCAACTTGATAACAGTGAGTTTGGTTGGTAGTGGGTTTTTTTTTTTTTTTTTTTTTTTTTTTAAGTCATTTGCTACCTCCAGGACCTCTGGTAGCGTAGTGCCTAAGGCATTTGACAGCTTACCAGAAGGCTGGCAGTTCAAACCCACCAGCCACTCCTCAGAAGGAAGGTTGGGCAATCTACTTCCATAGTGATACCACCTCGGAAACCCAAGGAGGGATCGTTAAGAGTCGAGATCAACTGCACAGCAGCGAGTTTGATGGGTGTTTGTTTATTTATTTATTTTTAAGTTAAACTGTGATCTGAGAACATGCTACAAGCAATCCCTGGGATATGAATGTCTTACTTACTTACATAGGACCCACAGATACAAACCAACTCTCATAAGGCCTATTATATTGGGTGGAGGTACATACAGTGATTAGTAATAAGAAATGGATGCTACTTTGTGATGCAAATCAGAGTATTGTATTATTCTGCTCAAAATGTTTTAATACTTATAATACTGAAAGCATTTCTTTAATGTTTTTATGCATAGAAAGATAATTGTGTATACTAAGACAGATACTTGACATTAAATGTGAACCATATCTAACTATTCCAACTTAGGTGCAAACTCAATTTAAAGACAAACTTAGAAACAAAATGGGAACTGCCTGTGTAGTTCAAATAATGCTTGAGTGTTCTTCTGAACTTCAATCATTTTGTTTATAGCCAGAGTCAAATGAATATTATCAAGAGTTAATAACACAGGTTCAGTGTTTGTTCTACCCCTGTAAGCTACTATGTCTCATTGTCACTGCTTTCATTGTACAGTTCATTTGTGCTCATGTGTGGTTCCACATGGCATGCCAGGCATGTGTCATGCAGAGCCGAAAGATGTTAATTTGTTGCTTATTGAGTAAAGGAGAGAGGGAATCAGAAGTGTTGTAATAGCCCTGGAATCTTTAGTGTCTAAAAGACTGACCTGAAATGCTTATTTTAAAGGTGTATTATTAAGAATACAATTTTAGGGGAGGAAAAAATTAGAATAGCTAACACATTAGGTTTCCTGATAAATACTCTTCAACAAATAAATAATGTATAAATATGTTTTTAATAGTAGCTTAAATTTGTATGGTAATTTTAAAGCTATACTATATTAACAGTTGTTTGAAAATTTTACAGGGATACTTTGGAGCAGTTGGTGCACTTCTTGGACTGCATTGTTCCTAGAACATGAGGGATACTTTGGAGCAGTTGGTGCACTTCTTGGACTGCCAAATTTCAGCTAAAGCATCACATTTCTCTCTGCTAATGTCATGTAAAAGGAACTGCAAATCAGAAGCATTATGCATTGTCTATCACTGGGAACCAAAGGATAAAGAGTTAACAATATTACTGTTGATTTTTTAAATATCAAAATAGTAAGCTGCTGAATGTTGCCATAGTGAAAGAGCTCAGAAATGTGAAGTATTTCTAATTGGAGTGCTTTCCCTTCTGTATATAGCCAGTGTTAAATCCTTAAATGCAATACAGTCTTTGATTATTGAGCTTCCTTTCAAAAAGATTTTCTGTTCTATGTAGCCAGCATTGCAGTACTGTATGCTCAAACACAAACTCATCAAATCTCAGAAATGTTTAACTTATGAAAATAATGAATTCTGAATATTTGTTATTACTTTATGTGTGTTTTGGTTATTAATGAGCAGACAATACTATATACCCAGGATCAAAATTTATTGAAAGGCAATCAAAATGATTTTTATGTGATTTTAGAAATGTTAGAGGAACATTAATTACTACAGTTTTTCTAACATACCTCCCTCAAAAAAGCATGTTTACGTTATCTTTGCTGAGAAGTTTTAACTGTTCAAATGCCATGATGTAATTGAGATATTACTAAATTTTAACTTGAATTCTAAAAAGAATTCTAGAAAATGCACATATTTGATGATACTGCACTTTCTGTATTCTATTTGTTGTAATGAATCAGTAAATTTTAAAATGCATACTATTTAAAATTTGGAGATGTGATTACTTGCTTGGGAGTTTGTTTAACAGGGACCTATAGGACTATTCTAATATGGCTTGAGTGCATCAGTAGAGTTAAGTGCTCTCTATACCAAGTTTACCTCGGGCCAGACTTAGTCATTCTTTCTTAACCAGGTCTGAACTGTCCAAGATAAAGACTTCATTCTGTCATGAACCACAGAATCATATTTATTCCAAAAGAATGTCATGGAAGCCTGAGAGATAAGTTGTTTTGAAACTTTGTGGGAGTCAGAGGCAGTATTGCAGAATTATGAATGGATCAGTGTTTTGTACATTCTGGTAATAAAAGCATTATCATTCTAAAATTTGTAAATCCAGTTGCTTTGGAAAATATGCTCTATTTTGAAATCATTTCTTATCACAAATTTTTCATATTTTTGCTTTGGCAGTTAATATTTTGGTGGTCCCATAGTTCAGTGAGGTTGTTGGGGTCTATTAACTCATGGTTTAGAAAGTAAAAAGACTTGGGAAAGAATTTACCTCCATAAATTACCAGTCAACCTAGAGTTTAAAAATTGTTTACATTACACAAAAGAAGTATTACTGTGTCTTTTACAGGCCATAATTTTGCTTGAGTATGCCCAGTTGAGAGTCATTTTCAATAGAGTATGAGGTGCTTGATAGAGACATTTATTTCCATGTGTTTTTCAAAAATTGTGCTCATATACTTAAAATTCAATTTTCTTTTTCTAAAGACCTGAACATACAAATGATAGGAGTGTGTTTAGGGGGGAAATTGTTTAAAGGTGACTTTTTTCTTATTTAGAACATTTGGAACTTTGAATTTGTGTTAGTCGCCAATTCAAAAACCTACAGTGACTCCACACTTAAGTACTGTTTTAATGTTTCCATTGTAGCCGCTAGATACTTAGCAAGTCAAAATACTATTGATTTAAATAAAGTTTTTGATGTGTGCTTCTGTAGAAATATTATTGAATGATGCTGACTTCAAGCTATTTATGTGTGGCAATCTGCATTAGCAGCTGTAGATTTAGGGCAGACTTTATTTAAAAAATGAATGGTCAAAGTATTTAACTTCAAATTAATTTGATCATTACTGTTTCGTTAATTTAGAGCTATGACTCATACATTTTGTCCTTTGAAAGTAAAATTAACTGAGGAAATGTAAAGTGGAAAATCGTCTAAACATTGTTGCTTTTAACCTTTTTCTTGAGTGGTCTAGAATTACTAGAATAAGTAAGAACACAGAATTACAGTGAAGGCTGGCTTCTTAATTATGATCTCAAGAAATTGTCTCTAGGCACACCATGATAAGTAGGTTTGGTTTTAATCCCAGTCAAAGTAAAGCCTCAGAACTCTTGAACATACTCTCCAATGGAAATAGAATGCAAGCCAAGTGTAAATTTAAGTTTTCTAATAGGCATAGCTCGGAAGGAAGGTTGGGCAATCCTACATCCGTAGTGATACTGCCTCGGAAACCCAAGGAGGGGTCGCTATGAGTCAGGGCTGACTCGACGGCACATAACAACAACAACAACAACAGTAGGCATATCAACAAAGTAAAAAGAAACAGATGTAAATTATTTTAATACTTAATTCAATCTAGTATGTCCGGTAAGTTATTTCAACATGTAATCAATATAAAAAATTAGGAAATATATTTTTTTTCTTTTTGTATTCTTTAGAAATGTGTATTTACAGTGACTCTCCAATTGAGAGTAACCACATTTCAAGTGCTCACATGGATATAGCCATGGATGGGTAATGCCTGTTGTTTTGGACAGCATAGTTCTAGACCTCGCTCTTAAAAATGGACACTTACGTGCCCATGAAAAGTTTTTGAATATCATCTTTTTAAAGAATATTTGAGAGGAAAAAAATATGGGAACCATACATTTTAAGTAAGGGTTGGGTAAGAAATGGCTCATTTGGGCTTGTTTACTTTATGCAGACAAGCTATATTTCTGACCATTCCAAAAATAGTTCACATTGCAAACTGCTGTCTTACCATAATATATATCATTTTCCATTGATACTGATTAGGCAGTGAAATTGCCCCAGATATATCCTGACAGTTCCGAAGAATCTCAATTTTATGTTTTCTTCACTGAAGGAAATAGGACTTTTCTAATGACTTAATTCCCACCCCCACCACCCTTACCTAAGTGGAGTTTAGAGGATTAAAAAGAGATCTTGATTTTTCCTTGAGATGTGTATAAACAAGATAATCTTTTTCTCCTCTTTCTTAAACTAATGACTTGTATTTCTGCACCTAGACGGTTTTCATCTAATTTTATTCTGCAATGGCCAAAGTATTAGCATACTTAACTAGCCTGTGGACGTGGACATTCCTTGCTCATCTACTATAATTTAAATAGGAGGGAAATAGGTTTAGTTTAGGGAAAGTCAGTGCCATTGCCAATTATATACATAATAATTGAAAGTCCTCCAGGAGGTTCAAACTTTTGCCAAGGAGTCCATAGAGACTTCCCTGAGTGGAGATGTGATTGTTATTGTGAGTCCAGTTTGTGAAACAGTCCATTTCTTTAAACAGATAATGCAGCTGAAAGTGAAGAGGCTTCCTCTTTGTTCAGAGGTGCTGTTGGCCTTAAGAGTAGTCCATCACAGCTTGCCTTGATTTTAAGGTTGTATTCTCCGGTAGTAGACCTCACCAGGAACTAGTTCCAGATGTACTTGTATAACCACTCTACTTTTTATATACAAAATCTTTTTGCATCTTTTATTTTTTTCCCCTCTGTTGAGCACTTTATGCTTTTTACTCTAATGAATTTGAGAATGTTGTTTAGAACTTCTTTCTCCTTTAAAAGCTGTGTAAGAACTGATAAAGGATAATGCCTGGAAAATTAGTGAATATTATTTTGATTTGACTTATGCTTTGTGGTATTTATAAAGAAAATACTGGAAATATATTGCTTTTTTTAATAATGACCTTATTTAAGAAGTTTTGCCATGAATGTTAATTATGTCCTATTTCCCATTGAGTACACAAAAGTGTTTATTTTAATGTGTTTCACTCTAACAAAAGGGATTCAGTCAATTTTATTTCTTTATTATCCAAAACCCCTATGATCAGATAAACCCAGAAAATAATGTGCTTTTCTATATTGCTGCCTGTTTTCAATAATTTGGCACAGTGGATGTCTTGTTTTCTATTGAGCCAAATAATACTCAGGAAAGACCTAAGAAGACTGAGTAGTTTTTTTCTTTATTTTAGTAGGCCATTAAAAATAATGGTGGTATGAAAAGTAAATCATTATACCTCTTCTGCCACATCTAAATTTTGAGTAATTTTCATTTTGAGAAAGTTAAAATGGTTTCTTAAAAGCAGTCCATTATTTATGCTGTCTTGTGTTAGTCAGTGGATACGAAGTCTTGATTTGATGTATTAAAAATCATACTTGCTGTTCTAATTTCTCCAAATATATTTCATTTGTGGAATGAGAGAATTACATTCTTGAGATCTCTTCTAGCCCTGAAATGTTTTTATTACAGTAGGAAATGACTCAAGTACCATCCTGAGAAAAGACAGTTCTTTTATTCGTGGTAGTATTTGGAATAACTAAAACTGTTCAGCTATTTGAACTCCTGTTACAGTTAATTTTAGTGCTTATGGAATATTCTTATAATTATTACATAATTATTATTTGTATATGATAGGTACTAGATTTTGGATTCTTTCCAAATCAATAGAATGGTAGCAATTATTCTTTCATAATGTTGTTATGCCAAGTAAATAAATCTGAAAATAGTATGAAGGTTTTATATGTGTATACACGTTGGTTCAATTCTGTAACTTTAATCCATTAAAATGTCTTGAATTTTTCCTGTGTTTAACTCTGAAATTATATGGGCATTATTATAACAATTTTTCAGTTGTACAAAAAGAAAATATTCCGCTAAATTCCTAAGTGTTTGAAAATGAGATATATTTCAATTGCTCTTTTCTTCAAGCTGTTCTTTATTTCAGATCATTGTGAGGATAAATGTGGGATAAATCTGTCCTACAGTTATTTGTTGCTGTTGCCAAACACAACTCATAGCAAAATTTTAAGCACAGCTTTAATTATTTGCAAATGAGTTGAAATAATCTCAAGATTACAAACATACCCACATTAACTGTTGAAGACTGTGACATTCCACATTCAGCTTACTAATGAAAATTAAGTGTAGCAGTGAGCTGATAATGGGGCTTTTCAGGT